TAATTCCTAGAAACCTTTGAAAATTATTTTAATTGGAAATTCATTCTAATTATGTTTGAATCCACAGAAAAGATGAAAACAGAGAATTATCAAAGTTTCTCTGAAAAGGGTCATTGTCAAATATGCCAGAGTCTCTTTGCCCTGCCCACTGCCTTTTGCCCCACGTGACTGTTGACTGCCTTTTCTTGGCTCTAGGCCCCCTGCTTCCACGCAGGTTCTGCTAATGGGAAACCCTGGCAGGAGATTGGGAGATGGGAGGCAGTGAGAGGCCAGGGTCAACAGGGAACTGGTGAAGAGGCATGAGGGTAAGGCAAAGGCAGCTTCTCTTCCATGTTCCAGCGCTCTCCAGATAGGTGCACCATGCTTCCATCTTCCACTGGGCTTCAGTGTCACTCTTTCCCCATTGTTTCTTCTGTGGCTTCCTGCTGCCCCTAACCCCTGTGTTGCCTCACCACCTCCTGTTTGGGTGTCTCAGTTCTTCGTGGCCTGTGTAACTAACGTAATCCCTGCCTTAAATTCCCACTGCTAGTTACGCTTTAGGTTGCTTCCGTTTGCCTAATTAGACCCTGACTGGTACAAAAGCCAGCCTCATTTTCTATTTGGTATAGTTACGGTTGGTCATAAAATTGAGTAAGAGAATGCTGTTGGCATGCCGTATCCAGATTTTAGCAAGACTTTTGACAGATAGTGTTACAATGTTTTGTGAACAAAATGGGAGGATTTCAACTGGATGAGAAAAAAGTATTCTTAGATTGCTGAGGTTTATTAATGTTCAGATCATCTTCATGAAAGGGCTCTAGAAGTTTGGCAGAAGGCCCTGTCCTTAGCCATGTTTTACTCAACATTATTACCAAAGATTTGGACAAAGACATGAAAAGCAGCTTTATTTAATGTGTGTATAGTACAAAGATGGAAGATAATTCACATTTTGAAGAGATAAATGTAATAAGAAAAAGGGGAAAGTCTTGCATCTAAGTGCAAAACTTAAATTATAAAAACACAGAATAAAAGAGACCAAGTTTACCAGCCTATTATGTGGGTATGGAAATCCAGGATTTTACATGACCATAAACCCAACACAAGCCAGATGGGTGACCTATTTAAAAAAAAATTAATCTCTGGGTCCCATTAAAAGAGAATTCCTATAAACTGACAAGTAGTTACGCCTTCTAATCTAGTATAGGCTAGGAACATAATCTTAGACAGATATTGTTAAGTTGAAATAGCCAGCCAAACGCAGTGGCACATGCCTGTGCTTCCAGCACTTTAGGAGGCTGAGGCAGGAGGATCGCTTGAGGCCAGGAGTTGGAGAGCATCCTAGGCAACAGAGCAACACCCCTATTCTCTACCGGGGGCGGGGGGGGGAAGGCCAGACATGAACCTGTAGTCCTAACTACTCAGGAGGCTGAAATGTGAGGATCACTTGAACCCTGGAGGTCGAGGCTACCATGAGCTATGATCATGCCACTGCACTCCAGTCTACCTAATAGAGCAAGACGCTGTCATTCATAGATAGATAGATAGATAGATAGATAGATAGATAGATAGATACATACATACATACATACATACATACATACATACATATATACGTACATACATACATACATACATACATACATACATACATACATACATAATAGAAAAAATTTTGAAGTATCCATTTTCCCCAACCTTTGTAAAGCTTTGTATCATTTACAAGTTGTGTTTGCATATACATTTCTTCACTTTTGCCTCACAACAGCCCAATGTAGGATATACTGTTACCCCATTTCTCAGCCTCTGTTTCCTCGTAGGGCTTCAAGTCTAAGTTATATAGCTTACTGTTGTGGCTTTAAGCAAACTAGGATGCTTGGTCATGAGCCCAGCCTCTTTCAATAAAACCCATCTCATTTCAGGACACCTACTGCATCTAGGTAAGAGGGACCCAACTTTTGAAGTGTGGAAGCATTTACATGTGATGAGCTGTTAAGGGAAATGGGAAGAGACTTCCGGGAACATAAAGTCTGTCTTCAAGTATCGTATCTGTGCTATGAGCAAGAGGGAATTCATGTGCTTCAGGGAACAGAACTGAGGCTGACTGATTTTTGCTCAATATTTTAAAAATTCCAGCAGAACTGTTGTCTGATAGAGTGATATGCTCACTGTCTTTGTGCAAAAGTTGGTTAATTAATTCTCAGGAATACTATAGTAAAATGAATTCCTGCAGTGGGTAGGTTAAAGTAGAAAACCTAGAGTGACACCCAACTCTGAGAGTCTGATTGGGTTAATGAGTAGATTTGCGATTTGTAGTTTTAATTCAGAGTTATTTGATTTACATTTATAGTTTTACTTCCAGCAATGTAATTGTTTTTCCTATAATTTAGGATTAACATACTCTGTTTGTGAAAAAATTCTTAAGAGCCTGAAATGAGGAAGTAAAGCATGACCAGTGTTCGGTGTAATTACCTACACAAGAAATATTGTGCTATTTCCCAGAATACATCCCCAGAGTGAATGTGTGTATTTGTTCCATTTCATTCCTAGCTGTAGAATCCTATCGGGGTGATGAGAGAATCATTTTGAAATATATTGAAGCCTAGAATAGAGTTTGCAAAGTATTATTAAGTTTGCTAAGATGAACCTGTGCAAATGCAAACTGTCAGCATACCACTAAAAACTAGTGCCTGTATGATGAAGGTTCCTGAAGTGACCTATTAAAAGCCACCAGAGTGACAGTGGTGGAAAAAACATAAAATGTACCTTGAGAATGCTTTTCTAGCCTTCTCTCCAGAACTAGTATAATTTCTCTCCCCCAACATAGGATAGGTATTCATGAAGGGCTGTAGTAATTGAGAAAGGAAAATAAAAATTATTTCAAAACTGATATAAAAGCAGTACATTCTCCCATAAGAGTAAAACATGCAGGGAATATTAAAGGTTTCAGTGATTCAGAATTAAGATAACATTTTGCTTTGAGCTTATTTCTGGTTATGTTTGATAAAGAGAAGTTCATAGTCTTCATAGCCACTTGCTGAGGTCTAAAGGTTAGCTTACCTGAGTTCCTGAAAAAGACAGCTCTGTTGTGAATCCTTAATATTTCATGTCTTCCCTGTGAATGATCTGAAGGGCTGTGTGCTCTTGTCATGTTCATTTTTTTAATTGCAGTGTCTGCCTCTCCCCACCCTTTCTTTAATTTCTTCCCAGACTTACTAATCATAACATAATTCTCACAGGAAGATTGGTGATGCATTGAAAATACTAAGAGAAAAATGAGGTAAAAGAGCATCTGGTATTTAATTCAATGTATTATCCATCTAAAAATGAATTTTACAGATGGTAATGATCTCTGACAACTTGCCATTTAATAAAATGATGGTTTTTAAAAACAAATCAGTTTCCTACCCATGTGCTTGATTTTGCATTGACTCAGCAACTCCCAATACTCTTTCCCTTCTAAGTTGCTAATACAAAGTTGATAAAATAAGTTATGACTGAGACTTCCTTTGCTGCCCTTGACCAAATCAGCATCATCAATCTCTTTATAAGTTCCTCAAAGGCAGACAGACATGACCTTACTGATTTTCGTATCATTAGTGTCCTCCATGGGGGCTGGCATTTTGGGAGCCTTGCAGTTAAGTGTGTATAAATGAAAACCCAGACACTGAAAACAAGTTTTGCAATAAGCTTAAATTTCCCCTTTTGAAAAATAGCTCTATATTAAAGTTTCAAAGTATCTGGGAGCCAGAGAGGAAAATGAAAACTTTCCCCTTGAATGTTCTGTACATGAAATTTGGGGAGTTTTGATGATGAACATAAAAACTTAACCAAATTGGGGCCAGATGTGTTTTGGTATTCAGAATCTTTCAGATTTTAGAAAAATTATACAGTAGATACATATTACACTAAGTAACTTCTCCAGTGCATATTCGAATGCATCACTATTCCAATACCAGAAGTGTATGAATGGTCACAGTAAGTGAAATAAACTGTTTAAGACTAAAGTTTCAGGTTGGTTCAGGTCAGAATTTGCAGCCAATTGAGTTCACATCAGATCAAATTTGGCAGCAAATGAGTTAAGAAAACAAAAACAAAAGTTTGTTCTCAGAGCTTTTGTGACTTCAGAGTTGTCTATCAGCATTTGTGGACCTATAATGTTTTGTTCACTATTCAAAACCTTCTGTAATTGTTTAGCAATTCATCATATCATTTCTAATTTCAAGTGGACAGGTAGAAATTATTTCTGTTTTCCTCATTTCCCTTGGAAAAAAAGAAAAGGCAAACATCTGAACAGAGTTTGGGGATTATTAAATACAGGTTGAGCATTCTTAATCTGAAAATCCAAACTCCAAAATACTGCCAAATCCAAAACTTTTTGTGCACCAGCAAGAGGCTCAAAGAAAATGCTCATTGGAGCATTTTGGATTTCTGCTTTTCAGTTTAAGAATTTTCAACCGGTAAGTATATAATGCAAACATTCCAAAATCAAAAAAATATCCAAAATTTGAGACACTTTTGTTTTCAAGCATTTCGGATAAGGGATATTCAACCTGTACTACAATTAAGTACATCGTCTCACTTAGACCACACAGAATCCTCTGAGATAGGCTCTAGGATCATTTTCCTTTTACAAAAGCGACAGAGGAATGAGGGGGCAAGTGATTCATTCTGGGTCACAAAGTTAATAAGTAGCAAAACTAAGAATCAGACTTGGGTCTTTCAATTCCGAATCCCTTCCTCCTTCTACCAGGTCTTGTTTTCATAGGAAAAGCTTCTGTTGAAGCTGGGAAATGACAATTCAGAGATATGTTTGACGAGAGTTAAATGACTGTATAACAGTGCCCACAGCCTTCTATTAATTTGATTCATTTCAGTTAGTTTGGCAGAAGTGGGCTGATTGTTGTAAAGTTTAAAATGTGTTTTGATTATTTTTAAAATGGATATAAATGAAAACTTTAATTTTGAAGGTGGAATAATAAGGATATTTTTGGATGCTCTCCCATTTTGTTTTAATTGTTTAGATGTGCCTGGCATCAGAAGGGATGAAAATGGAAGAATCAAAGCTAATAAAAGCAAAAGAATCCGATAGTGGAAGAATTAAAGAATTAGAGAAGGGAAAGGAAGAAAAAGAAATTAAAAGGGAGAAAACAGATGAAACCAGGTTACAGAAGGAAGCAGAATTTGAAAAATCAGCTAAGGAAAATGTAAGAGATTCTAAGGAATTGAGAAATTTTGAGGCATTGCAAATAGATGACATAATGGCTATAAAAATGGAAGATCCCAAAGAAATTAGAAAGGAAGAGTTAGAAGAAGATCAAAAATGTAGTCATTTTCCTGATTTTTCTTATTCTGCCAGTAGCAAGATAATAATTAGTGATGTTCCCAGTAGAAAGGATCACATGTGCCATCCTCATGGAATTATGATCATTGAGGATCCTGCAGCATTAAACAAGCCAGAAAAGCTAAAAAAGAAAAAGAAGAAAAGCAAAATGGATCGACATGGAAATGATAAATCCACACCCAAGAAGACTTGCAAAAAGAGGCAGTCTTCTGAGTCTGATATTGAGAGCGTCATATATACCATTGAAGCTGTCGCAAAGGGAGACTGGGGAATAGAGAAACTTGGAGATACCCCTCGCAAGAAGGTCCGCACATCCTCAAGTGGCAAGGGAAGCATTTTGGATGCCAAGCCACCAAAGAAAAAAGTAAAATCAAGAGAGAAGAAAATGTCAAAGGAGAAATCCTCAGATACCACCAAAGAGTCAAGACCTCCAGATTTCATTAGTATTTCTGCTAGCAAGAACATTTCTGGTGAGGCGCCAGAGGGTATAAAAGCAGAACCATTGACGCCCATGGAAGATGCACTACCACCCAGCCTATCAGGACAGGCCAAGCCTGAGGACAGTGACTGTCACAGAAAAATAGAAACTTGCGGTTCCAGGAAATCCGAGAGGTCTTGCAAAGGTGCTCTTTATAAAACCCTGGTGTCTGAGGGCATGCTCACCTCTCTGCGAGCTAATGTTGACAGAGGTAAGTAACTCCTACAAACCTGAAAAGAATTCAAAAACCAAGCAGAATTTCACCTTTAGACCTATTGAAAACAACTGCCATAAAGAACAACATGGTATCAAAATAATTCCTTGTATTTGTATATTTCTTTACGGTTTATAGATCATAATTATTTGTTATTTTACATGTTTTCTAGCACCGTTAACGGAAGTGTATTCATTTTTTAGGTAGTTCTCAGGATGTATTTAAAGTAATTTTAATCTCTTCTTCCCCCCGCTGGTATTGGCTGGCTCTTTGTTTTGAAAGATGACTATTAAATATTCAGAGCTTTGGGTTTGGTTTTTAAAACTGATGGAATTTCCTGAATCAAGCACGTATGTTTGTCAGAATCTTCACCTGTAGGCTCCAGAAGCAAATGTCTTATGTAGTTCTCTTCATTAGGTAATCAAAGCTGTAACTGAAGTGGGCCAGGCACAGTAGCTTATACCTGTAGTCCTAGCACTTTGGGAGGCTAAGGCTGGTGGATCACTTGAACCAAAGAGCTCTTTAAAACATTATAATATCCAGAAAATAGTTAATGTGTTGACCTTTATTCCATTGAGTGTTTTATATAAATCCTTTATTTTAAAATATAGCATCTGGCTGGAGGACTACCTTTTGCCAAGCTATATTCCAACAAAAAGTGTGAATCCTAGGTTTAACAAGCCCCAAATGAAGATACTTGGGCCTATTTCATCCACAGGGATGTCAATTCAGTGAGTTTTAGGGAAATTAGAATGAATAGTGCCCACCAGCAAAGGACTCCCATACCTTGGCTGGTTCTCGAATGGAAAAGCTAGCAGCAGTTAGTCTGTCTCTTTGAGTCATGTGATACCTGTTGAATTACGTGACAATTAATCCCAGAAGCTCTAAGTCACTTTTCTGCATGTTCCATTATTAAAGGTGGTCCAGCATGAATCACTCTGAGAACTCTGAAATAGCTACAGTTAGCATCATGCAAATGATATGCAAGCAGTCGAGAGGTTGCTTGTGAAACAACTAAGATCATCTCCCCTCACCCACCCATATACCAAACACATCCTTTGTCTTGAATTTTCTTAGGAAAACGAAGCTCAGGAAAAGGAAACTCCTCTGATCATGAAGGGTGTTGGAATGAAGAAAGCTGGACATTTTGTCAGAGTGGGACCAGTGGGAGCAAGAAGTTCAAGAAGACAAAGCCAAAGGAAGACTGTCTCCTTGGGTAAGTGCCTGTGAGCACAATCACCTGTACTACACAAGCCTCAAGTGTGGGTAGGATTTTCAAGGTAACAAATCACTGATTACTCATGCTTGTTCTTTGACTACTCACTCAGCACTGCCTGGAGTCTTAGTAGGCACCCTAGTGAACACAAATCAAGTGCATCACATCATTCCTGTTGTTAACATGGTCATGTGAATGACAATATCATTCACATTTTGAGAACAGTGAAAATATATAGACTTTAGACTTGGACCTGAGTTTGAATCGACATCCCTTCACCAGGATGCATTTTTCCATGTGAAACTTAGAATGGATAGTATTAGCATGTTTACATTTTACCCATTTTACGTACTGTATGTATTTATTGTTTATAAAATATCATGACAGCTGAAAAATGTAAGGTAAATGAAATTATGCTTCTATCTCCAACCTTATTTTGTCCAAGCTGTCTTCTGTTGCTCTAAGCTAAAAATATGAGGTCATATATTCTGCTGTAGAGAACATTCAATACATTAATTGTGTATTGAAATGCAGTATTAAGCAATGGCATGCATCAAGATAAAATCACTAAGAATTATTTTATATTTAGTGTTATGCCAAAGACTGTTAATAACCATCTTAATATAAAGCATTTTGTTAGTTAGGAGATCCAATACTTTATATTGGTGAGGAAAGTATCTGCATATTCAGTTAGACTATTTTGAAAATTCTTGAGATTTGTTGTTGGCTCAATTTGAAAAGAATACTTTGAATAGAAATAACTACATTGTTAATAAGTACAATGAAATAAGTACATTCACCATATTTTTTTCAAAAGTGTGTTTAAAGCTATGCAAATTGTATGCATTGGGTGTATTGTATTTGATTTATTCATAATACTTGCATATCTGTTTGTGGAATAATATATTTTTCCTTAGATATTACAGTGCTTTAAGTCTGACTAATTCTAAGACTCTAGGTCATCACAAAGTTGCGAGGTAGAAATTATTTCCCATAGTGCTGGCTCTTTAAGATTATTTTTATTGAAATGATATATTTATAATTTTATGTATTTCATTTCTAATATTTTAAAAAATCCAAAGTACTTAAAATTAGTTTTGCTTATAATTTTATGTATTTAATTTCTAATATTTTTAAAAATCCAAAGTACTTCAAACTAGCTTTGCTTACATTTCACTTAAGTAATGACATGAAAATCCTCATATTTCAGTGTCAAATTATAGTTTAAATGCCGAATATCTTTTTAAAATGACCCGCAAGCATCTAGACTAGTGCTCTCTGTAGTCTAGAATTACTGCCACTGCCTTGTGGGTCTGCACACCGAGAGAGGAGCAGGTGTTATGTAGGCAGTGTGAGGTCCTAGGGGAATAAAGCAAGCATTGAGGCTCCCCAACAGAAGCATTTCTCTGATGCTTCTAGTAGAAACTGCTGAAGCTGTAAGAGAGATTTTCATCAATTTTCTTTGAGGAACAAGATAAGTGAAACAATCTTGAAAATCTGTTCCTGAAAAGAGATTGGTATGTGGATTGTATGTGTTTGTTTTTTAATCATTTCTGAGGAAGGCACATGTGTATAACTGGGAGATGTTTTTTTTATAGCTTTAAATTAACAGTAAACTTCAATGCCTTTTCCTCCTTTCTCCCTCTAAATATTGGCCTGTCAGGATTTGAATATTTGGGTTTGCCTTGTTCAGAACATGCCAGAATAATACTTAAGCAGGGAGAAATGCCATTTCCTGTCAGTCTGCTCTGAGAATTGTAGATGAGCATTTTAAACCGTTTTTTATCTCAGAAAATGTGCTACCTGTTAACTGTAGCCAAGAAAAATTTTCTCAGTATTGACAGATCTAATTTTATAGACATCTCTAAGAAAAACATAAATGATTATTATTGTTCTCTTTTTAAGAAAAGTCTCAAGAGACCTTATGAGTTACATCTCACATTTTCTGTTTTCTTCTGGGTATTCAGAGTATCTGAAAAATTCACAACTTATAGACAGCTTTCTGATAGTATTTGATTAGTATCCAATTGTATCTGATTTTCCATCAGAATAAACATTTTTTAACTGAATGAGAAATGGTGATGTTATTAAGAGAAAAACATCACCTCCACCTGTCACCCTTCATTGCTTTGATAGAACTTAGTACAGTAGTTTCTCCTTAGCCATATTTTTTGCTTTCTGTGATTTTGGGTCTGAAAATACTAAATAGAAAAATCCAGAAATAAACAATTCATAAGTTTTAAATTATGCACCACAATGAGTAGCATGATGAAATCTCATGCCATCCCACTTCATTCCACCCAGTGCATAAATCATACCTTTGTCTATCATATGCTGCTGTACAATATGCATGTATAGGAAAAAAAAATGTAGCATATGTAAGTTTCAGTACTGTCGGTGGTTTCAGGCATCTACTCGGGGACTTGGAGCATATCCCCCCTCCAGTAAGGGGGTGCTTCCGTAATTGCCATTTCCTGTTGACCATTCAATTGGTCATCTGACCCTCTTATCTCTGCTTCTCAACTCTTGTATATTCCTCCAAAACAGTTGTAGTTAAAAACATTTTTAGGACACCCCTTAGCTAGCAGCCTAACACATTTGCTTCTTATAAGCTGGTACTAAAATTGCTCTCCTCTTCCCAATACACCTTCCATTTTCCATCTACCAGACACAACAGGTCTCCTACAGCCTCTTCCATCTGTCTAGGTTGCATGTTAGTTTAATAAGTCTCACTAAATGGAAGTTAGAAGCCTGCCTAGGATCCAGCAGGCATGTTGCCATTGCTGTGGGGCCCTAGAGACAGTCAGCACCAGCCCAAAGATTGCCCAACTTTGCTGGTGGCATTTCTGAAGTCATTGGTGATTTAAGTTAAAGCATGTTGCCTCTGTGCCGTTGCATTCATTGAAAACTGGCTTTACTTTGCTCATTGAGTGTTTTATCTTCATTCTAGTCAACTCTCCAGAATGTTTTCCTAATATTAATGCTTTTTGTTTTGTATGTTTTAATCAAACAGTAGTAAATTTTTTAAAAGAAACTAATCTTACAAAACTACCAATATATTACCAATAAGCTTGCCATAAATACATGTATATGAGTCTGTAAAATGAGAAACTATATGAATAGAGTATGCTTTGTACAGAACTCTATGAAAAACTCCCATGCTAGTGGAGAGAATGCCAAATTCCCCACTTCAGAAATATTCCGATATAAATGATGTTTCTACTTTTCTAAGGTAATAATATAACCTGTCACATGAGTTTACTGAGAAAACTGTGTTGGTAAATCTCAAGCATTTCAGAAAAGGTATTTTTTCCTTGTACAGAATTTACTTACATGCCCTAATTCCCAGAGACCCTGTTTTCAAATAGAATATCTTAAAATCTATTTCATGTCATTTTCTGTGTCATATTTGGTCATGTGCTGATTGATTCCCCTCTCCCCTTTTAATAGCTCCGCAAAGCTGGATGAAGAATTTGAAAAAAAATTCAACAGCCTCCCTCAATATAGTCCTGTTACATTTGACCGGAAATGTGTACCTGTCCCAAGAAAAAAGAAGAAGACTGGAAATGTGTCCTCAGAACCGACTAAAACCAGCAAAGGTTAGATGTGACCTGTACCTTCCTGCCATGTGGTCAGAATCTCAACTGACCCTTCAGCTAAGCTTTTAGCTCCCTTTAGACATGTAATTGGATTTGGAATTGAGGCAGTAGGGAGTTAGAATCTCAGGTTGCTTTCCAAGGTTATCTTTGTCCCTTTTTTCTTCCTTATTTTCTGTAGCTCCATTGGCATCTCCGTCTGTATATTTGCCCGTAATGATGTAGCTAAGCTTTTGCAAAAATGTTATACATGGTCTTCAACCTCCTGCTCTCCAGAATTCTAATTTGGAATGTTAACCTTTTCTTGAACAGAAACTGCTGGTTAAATCCAGTTCTTCTGTTCCCTGTGTCTGCAACAGGTTGAACTCTGGGACTGTAAGTCATTCTTTTCACCTGATAAGCGGATGCTAACTACTCTTTACTGGCATTATAGACCAAAGGAAAATAAAACTACCTGAAATCCTCCAGCAACATGTGTGTATGTGTGTGTGTGTGTGTGTAATTGGTTTTGTTAAATTTAAAGAATGCTTTGTTTAGTATATTCATTTTCAAGTAATCAGCTTCTCCGCTGCCTATATCAGGGAAGCTTTTTTAAAATTATCAACATGACTTGGATGGATCTCAGCATTCATCAGTGACAGTGCTGTAATCCTAAAGGGGACTGTAAGAGGGTGGGGGCATTTTCAGTGGTCTCATCACCTGAGACCACTGTTGACATTTGTGGGACAGGTACTGGAGTACTAAACATCTTGCCCTTCAAGCACACTGAATGACTGTATTACTCAAAATGACAACATTGCTTGCATTGAGAAACTTGTCTTCTGATTTTTCTTAAGGTCTAAAGATTGGTAGGGAAAATGTACCTCTAGTTTTCCATACAGATGTGAAAGACTTCATTCAGTTGGCTCTCCTATAAGGACATGGAATAGAGAGATGAAGAACTTGGGTGGCTGAGCTATAGTTGCTTTCAAGATCAAACTCGAGCAGGATTTGCTCGAAGAGTTCTTTTAATTATCCTGCAAAAGTTGCTGCCTATTGCCTGCTTCATCAAATTGGATAATTTAATCAAATCAAAATAATTCCATTCTTTTGTATTTTAAATAGACTGATTAATCGATCAGATATAAATATTAACGAAGAGATATAATTTCATGCATTTTAGGGAATATTTAAGGTATATAGATGAGGGAAAATTACGGTTTATTCTCTGGAGAAACCTGAACCTTTCTCCTTCAAAGCCTAAAAACGCTTTGCACACTGGAATTGACACAACCAAACAGGGTCAATTTGAGATCTGTATCTCAAGACAGAACTGAAAGGTTGAAGAAAATTTCCGCTTCATGATTAAAGGCAGGGAGGTATATAAAAGTCATTTTAGAATTAGCTCAGTTTTCCTCTGTGGTTAATAAAAACAAGTCTAGTGAATAAAGAACTAAAAAAGAAATGTTGTTGCATCGTCAAGTTTGCTCATCTGAGAAAATAAAATAGGGTTGTATCAAGATCTTCCAAGGTAGAAATAAAGTAGACTTGTAGACAGGTAGGGAGCTGAGCACCATAATGGATTGCCAAATGAAATGACAGTCTCTGTGCCCTGGAGATATTTAGGAATAGGAAAAGTAGTCCATGAGCCGAAAGATGCCAAGTGTCTTGAGCTCCCATAATTCTTAGATTTAAAGTTGCTGATAAATACCTGACAAGCCAATAAAATGGAACTTAATTGATAGATGGGCACGATGTTATTCCTTCTTCCACTCCCAAAACATTCACGTTAGAGCTCTGAAGTTGGCTGAATTATCTCTCAGGGAATGTAACAATAGATTTATTTTTGTAAAGCTATAAAACCTTGAAGTTAGGATCTATTTTCATGAGACCTTCTCTTGGGTCTTAGTTGTCTGTTATACGATTTTTCTCTCCCAGCTGAGATTAACAGTATTTCTTTTGATGTGAAATAGCTTTTTGGAGCTTTGGATTATACTTCATACAATATCATCTTAACTCTTCCATTATACCTCTCAAGCCACAAAGTCACTGGTTTTTACACAGTATATCAGTAATTACATTTGTGGGGAGTCTTCCAAGATGAGATTTTGTTCCACCTTCTGATTTGTGAAGCAAAATGCAATTAAAATAAGCAGAAATTAAATAATACATTATTCAGCAAACTAAAGAAATAGTATTTGTGACTGATTGTAATTTGGCATTAGCAGCACCAATGTACTAGACTACAAGTTACTATTAATGAAATTATCATACCAGCTGTGCTGTAATTGCCTGATCTTTAGGGGATAGAGGAAATTATTTTCTTAGACTCTAGACCCTTTCCACCTCTGCATAATGAATCATTCAGAGCAAACATTGTGTATGAGATCATTAGTAAAAGAGTATATGTCCATCAGAAACCTAATTTTTCCTCTAATAATTTGCCATTTGTCTATATTTTATTTTTTCCTTTGTCATCATTCAATATTCATTATATTTTCCTTCATGACTTATACTAGGTGCCTTTTTAGGTACTTCAGCTTACATAAAATGTATAGAATTTTTCTAAAATGTAATTTCTAGTAGAAATTTGTATGTATGTATTTATGTAGTTGTATATCTCAAAGTCATAGTACCTGCTTGGGTTTATTCCTCTGTTTACCCAGTAGTCTCATATTCGTATCTGCATTTCTAAGGAGTCTCAGTTTCTATCTTTCCCATGGTTATCCTACTATCTCTGCCCTGCCTCTTATGTCTATGTCATAGGTCTTGTCAAAAACTTTACAATGAAAAGGGATGAAAATAACTTTAAAAGCCACTTGGGCTGTGTTATAGTAGAACAGAGCATGATGACAGAAATAGGATTTCCCTTTCCTTCTAAAAATGAATTATCCAGTAAATTCTAATCTAACTAACTCACAATGCAATTTAGCTGAATCAGCCCAAACTTGATGTTTTCTGAGTTATCTCTCTGTTATTTTAAAACATTTTAAAGGAAAGCTTTAAATTATATGTCTAAATTTAATTGTAACTTCCTAAGAGATTTGTTTTACACGTTTACTTGTACTGATAATGTATGAAGCATTGTTTACGAAAGTATTAGAAGTCAGAGTTCTCTGTAGAATAGTAATTTTTCAGTGAAAGTAGGATCATGGAGAAAAAGAATTGTGTTGAAATTATGCCTCATCTTGACTTACTAGACTCACTTCTTCACTGTATTCCTTCTATCTTTACATAGTTCCTTGGCCTATTATCAAGCATACTATTGATCCTTCTTATGTTTTTTTCAATCCACACTTACATTTTAAGACTAAAATTTAAAAATGTTAAGGCATTGAGTGTTTTAAAAAATCACAGTGGGAATAAAAGAAGCAGGTTTACAAGATTGAAAAGACAGAATCCCCTGTTTGGGGTGGAGCCAAGCCAACCGTACTTTCAGTTTTAGAGAACTGAGGTGTGATGATAGATCTCCTGTTAGGAAATTTTAGCTTCTAGGTTGGGTAGAGATCTGTATCTTTCTCCATAACTGTTTGGAAGTCTCTGCTGCCACCAAATTTCTTCAGGAATATGGTGGCAGCACCTTTGCAGGTATAAAAGGTATATCTGATACAATTTTGAGTTCCTTAACAATGTATGCATGTCCAGCCCAATGAAATGGCTCCTCCCTTTCAATGAATCTTAACTTGATTGTGACTGATTGACTCAGAGAACTTACTCAAGTCAGTAAAGACACATGCCCTGCAGGTGGGAGCACATTGCTATAAATTATTGCATAGGAATATATTTTTTCATTGGTTACTCATTACTTACAAGTCCAATACAGAAATGGCAGCCATTTATAAAGCCATTTATATATAAAGAGCAAGGGTTTGTTTTAGAACAAAACCCTTGCTCTTTATATATATACCTATATATAGTTCAAAAACATGAAACTATAGAACCTGGGCAAAAGCCACCACCACCAGAGTTAAGCCTGACATTTGTTTCTGACAACAGATGTAAAGGGCAGGTTCACTTAATTCACCTTACTCACTGACCTTGAAAAAGTATCGTGCTAGGCTCATGCTGAAGTGGCTCCTGTGTCACTGCAACTTCTCACCCCCAAAACATTCATTTTTCAGCAAACCTTGAACATTAATGTTCTGGAAAGGTTATCATCATGTCCTTCTGGCACCCCTCTTAACTTCTCGGCTTGTCGTTTGGCCCTTTTGTTTTCTGCCCAGCTGTGAAGTTGAGGTGCAAAGAAGATTGATACCTTCAGAATACAGGTCATCTGCCCAAAAACTTAAGTGGAGACCTAAGCCAGTTTGCATACCAGCAGTGAGTGATTTTTTTTTTCGTAAGGAAGCTGAAGCTGATGCAGATATTCCCTCAAGAAATTTGGTAGGGAAAGAGATGGGACGGAAGCTTGAGGTATCATAGTAGAGTGAAGAACAGTTGTGAATATGTGTTTTCTGAATGATTCCTTCTAAATCCCTTCTGCATTTTACTTTCTACCATTCTTCCTCCTCCGTGGATACTTCTACATTAATGTAATAATTGACTAAGGAAAAAATATAATAGCACATGTCCTTATATTTGGTATTTATTACAGATTTTGACTTTATTTTCTTTAGACAAAATACCCAACGTATACACTATGCTGATTGGCAGAAATCAAATTTTTCACTTCTTGACTTTAAAATGGCTGCTTTTCAGTGACTACAATTAGATCTTATCTATTTCTTTTCAAGTTTGTCACTTTCTTTTTTTATCTGAAGTTGTCATTTACTTAGAGTAGTTTTATGTGTATAATTTGTGGGGTGGCCAGAAGAAAGGAATTTTAAAAATTTAAGTTTACAGAAGCTCTTCTACGTACAAAACTACTATGATTGTTCTTTTTTCATGTTAAAATTGACAAGCTCTATCTGTAGCTTAGTCTTTAAATTACTTTTTAGATTTCTCTGAGTATGATTGGGTCCAAAAATATATATTTCTTTTCTTCTTTCCTAACGCACTGCATACGTCAAATCATTTTGCTTCTG